ACCTATATATGAGTATTCACTACGTTCATCGACTCTTATATCTTGTTACATAATTTTGTAAGTCGATGTTACATAATATTATTTAGGATAAAAAAAATGTATTAATACAGTAGAAAGGACAGCGAACAAATCCATTGCAGGGTGCTGGTAAAATTATAGATTTTCGGGCTCATAAAATAATAGCATAAATGAAAGGAAGACAAGACAAAAAAAAAACAATTTGAGAAAAAAAACAACACAAAATGTTTTTCTTTTTATATCAAAAACTTTTCCGGAATCAAGGACGACAGCTTTGATTACGTACTTCAAACTTAAGCAGATTTGCACAACAAATTTTGACGGTTAGATGTTAAGCATTGAACTACATTTGATAACATCTATGGAAAAGTTTCGCCTAAACCTTTAGGAAACTCGCTAGTCGCCCTGATTAGATTTAAATGCGAAACTTGAAAAAGATCACTCAGCGGTTAACTCATGGATTAAACGTACCTCGTTCCTCAAGACTCACTTAAATTTTCAACCTGGGCTCGAGCTCGGATTATAAAAAAGATATACTAAAGAATATTTTTTTTCAGATAGACTAAAAACCGCGATTGTACGATCTGAATAACTAATGGATAATTATTTATTTACAATGAACATCTTTTTACAATAAACATACAACATATCTACAAATGCGATGAAAATACAACTAAAATAGAAAAACTAATGCACTGATGGAAAAAATATACTAATTTTGCCCTCAGATTAATTCAAAAACAAACACCAGGCGCGAAATTTTGTTTTTCTGCAGAATGAAGATTTTTAATGACTCATTCGAGAACATTCTACAAAATCTAATATGAGAATGTTCTAGAGTATTCTATTTCATGGCTACGACCAATCTGAAAGATCGGGAAAGAACTATGAAGTCTTTTCTGTTATACGACCGCTAATTATCAACAGGTTAATTGAGCTTCTGTTTTTATCGATACAAGATTCCTTACCATTGATATCAATTTCGACCGATCGAATTCGAGGATGAATTCAAGTATCTTAAAAGAAGACCACAAGCAATCCAGTGCAGTTTAAATCTAAAGCTGTTCAATTCTTGACGTGGAAAAGTTGAATTGGGGCAAAAAAAAATCAGTGCAGAGAATACGTCTTTTTGGACTTATGAGCTAAAAAGAAGACTGTTTCGCTAAAGTCACGGACTGATTCAATCCACTATAAATACTGAAATCTAAGCCACCAGTCTCCGCTATGCAACCTAGCCAAGGGACAGTTGTTTGTGTGTCAATGAGCCGAAAGAGTGGCAATGTTTGCGTGTCAATAAAAAAATTGGTATGAACGCAAAAATATTCCACATTGAAGATCTTTGATTTTCCAGAAAATTAAAAATCGCTCGAATAAAAAAAACAGGATCAAGAAAGAAACATGATATTCTGCTCTCTGCTGGGAATTCTACAAAACTTAATCCCAAAAACTTGAAAAAGAAAATCAAAACTCAAAGAAATCAACTAAACATTAAATTTGTAGCGTGAAAAACGTTTCTAACTTTTCATTCAGAAAAACATATACGCGTATATTGATTCGTCTTAATTTGGAATTGAATTGCGTACTTTTTGGTGAAAAACAGCTTTAGAAAATTAGGCCAAATACTAGGGTGCGACTTACAAAAAGACGAGACAGAAAATATAAATATATACTACATCAATAGAACTTAAAAATATATTAATAATTTTGTCTTTCAAATAACAACTCACATCACAGAAAACTCAAACTGTTTCAATAAAATTAACCCAATTTGAGAGAACCAGATTAATAAGAAAATAAGATTTCCACTGAGGCTGGGAAAATTACAAACAACATCCACCTTAGAAGGACGAGCAACTTTTTGAAAGTTAAATAGCAATGAGACAAAACTGCATTTAAAGAAAAAGACTCAAACAATGTAAATATCAGTTTGTTTTTCGAACAAAAAAATCAAATTACTTACAATTCATGTTTTGAGCACCCAAAAAATTTCAACAGTAGCAAAGCGGAGCCTTACACCACGTGCAATTCAGAAGCAAATGACAATTTTTACTCAGACGCGAAGCTGCACTTCAAAAAAAGCGAGAAAAGGGTAGCATATAGCTTTAGAAAAGTCAAAAAATGAAAATAACAGGAAAAGTTAAAAAAACTCTGCTATAAATTATTAAAAATTCTGCTGGCATCGGACCCTCGATCCAAAGTCCGCAAAACAGGCCGAATGCTCCTTATAACAATAAGTAAACAAAAGAGGCCCAGCTATAATTGGAGGGACCAGGTGGTTAAGCTTTAAAAAACTGATGGATAAAGGTATTGCGCAATTTCGAAAATGTGTCGAAGTGTTAAAAAATTGACACTTACTCAGTCAATTACTGAATTCTATCATTATATAAGACAACAGGTTTTTCAAGGGAGATTAAAATATCTCAGTTTTTTTTTCATTTTAGAATTGGCACGGTCGTTTTTGGGGAGCTGAAAGAAGTCCAAAAATGGGTCATAAGATGAATGTTTCCTCAGCCCATCATAGCAGATTTCTTGCCAATCTAAAATTTCCAAAAATGGGCAAAAGTTCAAAAACTAAAGCGATAACTTTTTTCATCAAACAAGGGCGACAGCAATCAAGCAGAAAAGATCTACAAACCTTTTCTTTCGATTAAACCCTCAGCTTCGTAATTCATCGGGTAGAAATAGAGTTTCCTAGTACTCGTTTCGCAATTGAACTACTTATCTCAGATTTGGTTGTGGAGTTTTCGAGAAAAGGAAGAAATTTCACAAAAAAAGGGTCATGAATTCAAAATTTGAAAATTTTCTAGGGCAAAAACTCATTTTCTACAAGCATTAGGGCGTCGCATTTTGAGCAGGTGAGATTCTTAGGTCACGATTTGTTTATTCGTCCATAATCTAAGAAAACGAAAATAATCCAAAAATGGGTCCAAAATTCCCCCCAATGAAAATTTCGAAGACTTTATTGAAAATGGGGAAGTAATCAGAGAAAATTTAATACTTAAGCGAAAAGTGCGAAAGTTTTTCAAAATGTCTCAAAACACAGCAAAAACCAAATACAAATTCTTTAAAAAAACCTGTTTTTTTAACTTACAGGAACTAACCATCAATCAACCAGATACAAGATATAAGGCTATGCAGCAAAATTGAACCAGATATAACAATGCATAAGTACCACTTAATAAATGAGCACAATTGGGGCAACTAACGACACAGCATTTAGAACAGTTGAAACTTTGGTTTGAAAAGGACGCTGTGGGAAAAGAACTTATGATAAAGCTCTAAAAACTTTTGAAAAAACAAACTCCAATAAACCTTTAAAAGAAACTCGATACAAAAAAATCAGCAAATCAGAACCCACTCAGTCCTAGAAATCCAACCAGAGACTTGAGTATAAAGTCAGAGCAGAGTTATGAGCCACTTGTCATACAAAAAAGGAAACACTTAATCCAAAATCACCATAAATGTGATCGTCTAAGCAACTTTACGAAAAGAAAAATTTGAAATTAAATATTGCAGTTTCCTAGAACAAATACCTAGCAGACAGATGAAAAATTGTCAATGAGCGCACGAAAACTGAAAAAAAACTCACTTGTTTTGTGAGAAAATTTCAACTTTTTAGGCATAAACATTGATAATTCACAATCGCTGTTAAAACAGAACGAGTTCAAACAGCCATCCAAATAATATAATTTTGGGAAACATGGCCAACTGATTTTTTTTTTCACAGAAAAATCTGTCATCGATATACCAAAAAGAGAAAAACGTGTTGCGAAGAAACTATTTCATAAAAATGTACAAAACCTTCACGGAAACAGAAAGTTTATCAAAATCATACCATTTTCCAGTTTCTTTTCTGTAAAGTGATTTACACTCACGGGACATAGACGTCACAAAGTTTAGTTATCAAAAAGATGGAACGAACAAATATTTTTCACGTTTCTGAATATTCCGATTGTATCTCTAACCTTTTCATCAATTCTCATTTTTTTAACACGTTTTTTAATGTTTTTCTATCTTTACCAAAAAACGGCCGGAGTTTTAAAAGCGGTCTAGTAACACGCCTTAGTAATAACTATCTAAGCCTTTTAAGGGCTAACAAACTTATTGATCTAAACAGTTTTCTTCGCAATTATGAACTTGAAAATATAGCCATCAGACAAAAAGTCACTAAACTCAAGTTAACAGAAAAAAATATTAACTCGTCTTGTTTTTAAAAAAATCTCATTTTTCGAACTTCAAAAAAGTCTGTCCTTAAAGCTCATTCAATTTCTAGACCAATTTATAACAATTGACACGTTTATGGAAATGAACAGAACGTAAATAATCAAACCGCAAAATTTTAAAATGAGAATCAATCAAATTTCGAAACTTTTCTTGAAAAAATCATCACAACCTATATATGAGTATTCACTACGTTCATCGACTCTTATATCTTGTTACATAATTTTGTAAGTCGATGTTACATAATATTATTTAGGATAAAAAAAATGTATTAATACAGTAGAGAGGACAGCGAAAAATACATTGCAGAGTGCTGGTAAAATTATAGATTTTCGGGCTCACAAAATAATTGTATAAATGAAAGGAAGACAAGACCAAAAAAACAACTTGAGGAAAAAAAACAACACAAAATGTTTTTCTTTTTATATCAAAAACTTTTCCGCAATCAAGGACGACAGCTTTGATTACGTACTTCAAACTTAAGCAGATTTGCACAACAAATTTTGACGGTTGGATGCTTAGCATTGAACTACATTTGATAACATCTATGGAAAAGTTTCGCCTAAACCTTTAGGAAACTCGCTAGTCGCCCTGATTAGATTTAAATCCGAAACTTGAAAAAGATCACTCAGCGGTTAACTCCTAGATTAAACGTACCTCGTTCCTCAAGCCTCACTTCACTTTTCAATCTGGGCTCGAGCTCGGATGATAAAAAAGATAAACTAAGGAATTTTTTTTTTCAGATAGACTAAAAACCGCAATTGTACGATCTGATTAACTAATGGATAATTATTTATTTACAATGAACATCTTTTTACAATAAATATACAACATATCTACAAATGCGATGAAAATACAACTAAAATAGTAAAAACTAATTCACGGATGGAAAAAAAATATGTATACTAATTTTGCCTTCAGATTAATTCAAGAGAAAGCACCAGACGCGAAATTTTGTTTTTCTGCAAAATGAAGATTTTTAATGACTCATTCGAGAACATTCTACAAAACCTAATCTGAGAATGTTCTAGAGTATTCTAAACTACTCTAATATGACTTCCCCCCACTTCCAGGTTGTCCCATCTTTCCTTTCACTTTACTGTACCCCTGTGAGCCAGAGCCACTTCCTCCCGACATCCCGCTAGTTGCCGACTGTTTGGCGCTGTTGGCCACCGCCTGGCGGAACAGCCAGTCCAGTCTGGCGAAATACCCCCCAGGTGGGGGGTTGAGGTCTTTCTTGTCCGAGTTAGTATGCACTCTGAGTTTGGCCAGCTGCTGAGTTATTTCGGTGAAGCGGCGGAGGTCCTCATTGCGTTGCACATCCTTAAAAAAATCATTGCCATTTATAGAAGTATTTCGACACGTTTGGTCCCCAAACACTTTTCGAAAGGTGCCAAAATTTTTCTTCAGCTTCAAACCATACCAAGCTCCAAAAAACACGGCATAGTGTCCAAACAGGTCCAAAACGGCTTTCTGGACTGTTTTGGTTTTTAATAAGGTCAAGAAATTTACGAAATTTTCATGAATCGGCCGCCTGGAAAACATGCTAGATCCACCTCTACGTCTAATATCTAATAAATCTTTGTTAGAGACACCAACAGATTTTAGATCATCAATTGATAAGATACTGCTTCGTGACTTTGATTGTTTTTCTGAATAACAAACTGACTTTCTTACCTGATTCCATCTGTGGGATCTGTTCTGGTCCCACTTGCGAGTTCCCCCTGCAGAAGGCACTACTCCCCCTCCTCCTCCTGCACTTCCTGATCCACCCCCTCTGCCCTTGCTCAGATCCCTTCTCTTCTGAAAAGGTGTAACAAAAAGTAATTTTCTTGAAAACCAGGAAGTTCTCCAGTCCAAGTTAACATCCTCCCCCCCTAAAGCGAATTAGATAAGATAATATTATTAAGGTTCAAAGCTGGATTTTTCAGCCAATCAGAATCGAGCATTTGACACCTAGTATAGTAAGGGAACAGGATGTTAACTTGATCCAATTCGCCTTTAATTTTTATCGCGCACCATAACCCAATCTTTCAAAACACATGGAATCATTTTTAGTCTATTCCATTGAAAACCTTTTTAGTCTATTCAACTGCATCTAAACCAAAACAAAAAAGGCTTCGAAATGATATATCTATGGCCTCGCAAGAGCAATTGCGCCGACCAGGGACTCCGATTGAGACTTGCGATACAAAAATGACTGACTATGATTCTTATACTTTGACATCTGCGAATTTCGGCAGAACAAGTACAAAAGACTAAACTGGGGCAGATGTAAGGCGGCATGGGCAATATCAACTGACCTTACTCGTCGATCTTTTCTGACCCGACCCATCATCACCTGCCCCTGCCCCTCCGCCACTGGCATTGTTGGTTGCGAACCTCGAAGCCCTGCCTTTGCTTCCACTCTGCTGCTGCTGGTTAGTACTACTAGTGCTCGTGTCATCATCATCACTCACGCCGCTTAGACTTCCTATGATGAAAGGAGACAGTTAACAAATATTAACATCAGGTCACAGGCAAAAAAAATATCGGATCTCTATTCTCCTTTTCTTTAGTACTTAGTAAAGAAACTCTACCAAATGAAAGACGAAATAATGTGAAACGAATATTGTGCGGTGTAAAAAATTACCCAATGTTTTACGTTTGCAATTGGGGGTGGGGTGGGGGGTTAAGGAAATATTTGCATCTCATGGGGGTGTAGACATAAAAAGTAAAATCCATCATAGCGCACCGTCGTCGTTGTCCGATTCGGAATCAGTCGAAGGGTGCATCATCATGTCATGCATGCAGAAGTCCTGTGCTCCTCCATTGGGTCCCCCTTGGGTGGGGGGAGTGTGAGCAGTGTTGCTGTATTTGTCAAACAGGGACAAGTCCTCTTTCGGCAGAAGCAGCTTCTCATTCGCGAACACATTCACAATCACTTCCTAGAAAACGACCACTTCTTTAAAAATCCAGGTCGTACTCAATGCAAAACCAACCGAGGGGGGGGGGGGGGGGGGGGGAGAGAAGAATCATGTTATCCATTTCGCCGTAGCCGGTCCCACCTTCAGGAGGCGATTGACACTGGGACCCCTCAACCGTCATCGGAGAAAAAGCGCATCGCAGCAGATGAGTCAACTACACCGATAAATCCTATCGCGCTTAATCGGAATAGATAAACAATTTCTTGGCAAATTCTTATCTGTAAACCTGGAGCTGGTATTTTAGAAATCTACTTTTGAGCGATATAAAATCGTTCTAAGCGCTGTTACCGCAAATACTCTGCAGTATCTAATCCACGGGGATTCGAAATATCCGGGAATTTGACTGCAAAAAAACTTCAGTTGCGGTGGTCCCCATAAATAAATAGCGCAGACAGTCCGAAATCAAAGTAAGCTCTTACTCCCGAAAAAAAATCATTGCAGATTTTCAATGGGTCAAAATGTACCCATTACCCATTAAAAAATCTACGCATAACTAAAAACGAATTATTTTGTTTTAAAAACTCTTCTCCGACGCTTAAATTTCGATTGGAGATCATTGTTATCAGGGGTTCTAAGTTAAGCACTAGAAACAATTATCAGGGGCCTAAATTATCAGTCGGTATTGATTAACATAGCCAACTGACCGTTGGAAAAAAAGTAATGAACGCAAGGAAACTGAAAAAAAAACACTTGCATTTCGAAGAAAAAATAGATGGCCTTAAATCTGTTTGAATTTGTGGAACAATTTAAGATGTACACCTTTTTTGTTAAAATTAACCCAATTTGAGACTCAGAGGCGAACCTGCGCTTCGCAAACACTTGCCAGAACACGACCAAAAAGCAGCCCCATCAAGTGAAAAAAGAAAAGAAATAGGCCTCGAATTAGCAAAAACTCGGCTACGTGTAGGATACGAATCTACGACCTACTGCAATCAAGCTAAACAACCGACAAACACTAGTCACGAATAAAGCAGCTACATATGTTTACAAATTCCCAATGCGATTCAGCAAGTGAAACCAAATACAAATAGATTCAATTTCGCAAGTAATAATTTGGAATATAACAAACTGAAGGTATCCACACTAACTTTGCATGTAACAAATCGCCAAGCCACATTATGTATAAGTTTTGCATTTCAAAAAATTGCAAGATATATTTCTGAAGTTTATATTATTGTGATGTTGTTTGAAACAAATAGCTTTTTTTTCGGTTGATTTTTTGGATGCATTTAAAAATGCATCAACTGTGTTAATTTATTACTATTCGAATGTCAAAGCACTTGCTATCGAAAAAGCTTTAAAGGCGCCCCAAAAGAGGTGCCGATATTTACGGCTGGATCAATAAAACTGGATCAATAAATAAAACTTTTATTTCGCTGGGAAATCTGATAACTACTTTTCATTTTCGAAAATAGAAATGGATCTTGTTTTTCGTGATTTTTACACGAATGCTGTTCGAAAGTGGAGTTTGCCTTCCTTTTAACAATGGAAAGTCACTGAACTTAAAAAGAAATCACAAGCCAAACCGCGAAAAATCAAAATTGAGCGTTATTAAATTTTGGACTTTTTCAAAACAAGAAAAATCACCAAGACATATATAAGAGTACTCACTACGTTCATTACTCTTAAAAATTGTTCTTTTCTAATAACCTTCTGGTGACATAGATACTATGCTTGATATATGATGTACTGAGACTCTCCACGCCAAAATAGTCATAGTAAAATATGGATTTTCAGTAATTTATAAGATAAAATTGTAAAATTGTGCTTCATTGTGTTTTAAACCTTTTTAGTTATTTGTGCGTTAAATGTTTGCGCAAAAATTTTTCAAATTGTTGTAAAATTTTCTTTTGCCTTTTTAGTAACTTGTGCGTAGTTTATTTTTCCCAAAATCGAAACCAAATTCCGTCTAACTTTGTTTGAAGAAAAAACTGAATGAACCATTGAATAATATCCCGGAAAAAAATGAATGGTTCAAAATTGGCCGGAAAAACCTGACACTACGCAATAGATTCTTGAAACTTCTCAACAAATCATACTTCAGGAGGAGAATAAATTGGAAAGAGGGAAACGAAAAGGGACACTCGAAAAGAGCCAAAAAATAATACTCCCCCACCTGTTGTTTCGACTTGGACACAGGTGCAGCTGGGACACAGACTTCATTCCTCATCCGCAGCAGATCCTGAATCATCTTGGGGTGGGTGTCTCTAGCCGTGGAGTCTATCACGTGGTCTCTCACACAACACCCAGCCACAGATGGAAGCGCAGGAGTAGAGAGGGGGTTAAATAGGGGACACTTCTGACCACAACATGCAAACGTACCTGGCAAAAACAGGCGTGAATACATCATACAAATTGATCGGTATAAACCAACAAATCAGTAATTAGAATTAAAATTTAATTAGAGCTCTCTCCTAGTAGTTCCTTGTAGAAGTTTCATGAATAGAAGAGCAAAATACATTAGTGGCAGATGCATGACTATTAATTCATTTTCACGGTTTTGATTAAACAAAAAACTGAATAAAAGCTAAATCAATTCTTTTAAGCTCATTTTAAAACAAATTTCTGATACAAAATAATGAGATTGATAGCCGCAATATTCAAGATATTATTATTATTGTGGAATCTGATGGGCTAATATGTAATTGAACATCTTTTCAAAAAATTTCAAATTTTTATGCTATTTTATCTTTGCCAAAGTTACGGTCCCCATAATAACAGGTAAAACAAATATAACAACAGAAATTTTTTAAAGGGGAGCGGTTAGAATGTATCCCACAACAGCGGAGGTCCTCATTCTAGCATTAGCATATGGTTGGGCGACAAGAGACATTTCGGCCAATTTGAAATTGAGACTGAACAAGGAAAGAAGGATTAAGTGTACACTCTTCCACGGCAAGAATGGCTGAAGATGTGCGGGATATCCTAACCTGTTCATCCTTCAAACATAATTATCCTTTGCTCTCATTGTCGTTTTATTTCCGCTAGACCTAGATAAGGCATGAAGATGACGTGTCTTTTCCCATTAAAGCACCCCCCATCAAGCATTAACCCCTCCCCCATATTACGAAATTTTACTTTGATGTGTCTATAAATTTCTACATTTCTTGTTAAAAGGCTTGATGCTTAAATATTGAAAGCAGATGACACTTGAACGCTTTTGGAGGCAAGGTTGCTGTAACTATGCAAGAGATGTAATAAGTTTTTAAAAATTTTTTTAAAAAAATAGCCAACAGACGGTTGGAACAAAGTCAATGACCGCAAGGAAACAGAAAAAAACTGACTTCCTTTTTTGTAAAACTTTCAACTTGCGAATAAGAAAAAAATATACACCCTTAAATAACAAAGGAAACGAATTCAACTTAAAAAGAAACCAAAACTCAAACCACCAAAGTTTTGAATTTTGGTTTCTCAAAATTTCACCAAGGCCTATATTCAACGACTAAAATTCACCAAGGCCTGTATACGAGTGTTCGCTACGTTCACTGACTCATAAATATAAATAGCAGCAATCACCATCTACAATGTCGCCTGTGGTTGTGGTGGATTGTGGAGTGGTGTGCATGCGTGAGGTGTGGAATAGACAGTTGGCCAGGAGTCTCACTTGGAAGTGGGTGTGGCACTTGCTGCAGTACAGACAGTTCACCACACCCCACACCTGCCAGTACACATTGCGCCAACTCTTCAGCTCCTAACAGACGAAAGGAGAAACGAGAAGATAAGCGATTTAAATTGAGATATACAAATGAGCACTTCAGAAGATCGATTTCAAATGCTGATTTAAATTATCGGGACAAAACGAACAAACTGAAACATCAAACGCTTTTTTCAAATTGGGTCAGGACAAGAAAAAAATTGATGAGAACAATAGTTAATTAGAATTTCACCAAAAATGGTATGCTGCAATTTTTTCCTTCACTTGCCTTCACGTCATTTTGGCCTCTATTAAATAATCAATAGTTACGCTGAAATTATCAAACTAATTGATCAAAAAGTTATATCAAAAAAGCCTCTTACACAGCCCAATAAAGTACGAAAAAAGTAACAATTCCAAAAATTTACGTAAAACGTTTGAAATTTATTTTCATGCAAAGATTTTGATTTTCATATAGCAACAAGGATAGCCGGTTACTATATAAGTAGCACAGAATGTTCGGACCATAGTTTAAAAAAATGTTTCAAATTAGTGTCGTTTTTTCCTGTGTGGTGTAATAAAAAAATCTGAACGAAAAAAGAAATAAGGCAAATGCGACAGTCATAGTCAAATAGGTCAGATTGGAAAACAATTTTTTGTAGAAAAATGGCTAGAAAAAAGAAAAAAAAACGTTAAAACAATGTCTGAAATGTTTCTAAAATTTTCTTAAAATTCTCTAATTTTGAATTTTTATTTAAAAAATGGCGTTGAAAAGCTCCAAAAAACTAACTTAACTTGAGTAAACTAAATTTTCACGGTTTGACTTAAGCTTAATAAGCTATTGTAAGACCTATATAAGAGTCTTAGCTACGTTCATTACTTTTAGTAAAACATAGCCAACAGACAGTTGCAAAAGAGTAATGAACGCAAGGAACAGAAAAAAAGTGACGCGGTTGAAAAAATCACAACTTTCGAAATTCAAAGAAAAAAAAAGAAACTCTTTCAGCTCTTTGAAAATCTAGAACGATTTATGGTTGGCTCCTTTTGATAACATTAACTGAACTTGAGAAAACTGGACAAACAGGTAAAGTTTTTATTCCGCTGGAAATCTGAAAATTAAATTCCACTTTCGAAACTAGAAATCGTTCACGTTTTTTGCGCCAACTCCACGTTCGTATTTTGAGAGTGCTTTTCACGTCACTTTCAGCACATGAATTTTAATTGAAGTCAAAAAGTGCATATATACCTAAGTACGTCAATATTTTAAGACTTTTTCCTGAAAAAAAAAACAAAAAAAATCTGCAAGACCTATATAAGAGTATTCACTACGTTCACTATTCTTAATAAAACAGAAAATATTCATTAAATTCAATTGGGTCCTGTGTTGAGAGAGTTTTGAAAATCATCATCTAATTTTCCCTAAAAACTTAGATACCTTAAGCGACAACTCTACAAAAGATGTATCCCAACACGAAGTTAATTGTGAAAAATTCATGTTTATGTCCCATTCCAAAGTAATGCAATCGAGTCCATTCGAAACATGGAAAAAGATATTTTCGAAACAGAGGCGAAATTGAGCTTCGAATCGTTTGCGATACTACACAAACATAAAAACATAAAACGAAAAAACAAGAAAACTGTTTTTAAAAAAATGAGTTAGCCTTTGCAAGTCTCAGTAGAAGTTCATTTAAGCAAAAGAGCCAAACTTTTGAAAACTAAAATAGCAACAGAACGAAACTTACGAAGAAGAAACAAAGAAGACAATCTTTCAGCAGACAAGTTGAGCTGACAAAAAAGTTTTACAAAATTACAATTTTTCAATTTTCCCCGCTGAAAAAATATTGAGCAACACTTGCAGTTTCAACAGCATAAGCAAAATCCCTGATGTAACAAATAAGCCGACAATCTTAGAGCAGAAGAGCAGACACCAGTTGAGCTGGAAAAAAAATTAAAAACTTTCAAGTTCCCTCTGAAACTACATTGAACAACATTTGCACTTGCAACTACAACAAAAGTTACTTCCAGCACAAGCTAAATCCGGGATGCGGCAACTAAGCCGATAAAACTTAGGCAGAAAAACAAAAATCCGACAATTCAAGTTTTACGGGAAAAAAAATCCGATTGCATGCTGAAAAAAAACAAAGGTCCGGCCGTGACTCGAACACACGACCTAAGGTCTCAAAAGCAACAGCGTTACTAGGCAAAATAGGAACAAACCTGTGAGTTTTCAAGCTTTATTAATAGAGTCAGTAAGAGAAGCAAGTAACATTATACAGAAAAGTTGTTAACTACTAAAAAAAGTCTAGTTCCCGATTACAAGACACTCGCTTTCACAAGTGCAATAAAAGAAATGATCTAAGTAAACTTGCGCATTTTCGCTTTCACGAGTTGCTTCATTAAGTGATTAATTTCAAAGCCATTTGAGTATATTATTTGAATGTAGTTCTTAAAAAGTAAGTTATCACTTCAATTCTTCACTGCAACTGGTAAATGAACTATCGTGTTGTTGTTTTTTTTTGCATTTTAACTAGTAAACTTGCAATTAAAGGATCTCTAAGAATACCTGGAACATATTTGAACCAAAATCGAATACGTAAATTTCAGATTCATAGCCACTTACCCGAATGAGTGATATCAAATATTCATTCACATCCCACGAGATATCCCTCGCATGTTTGTACATGATTGCTCCTCTATTGTTCACAAACATCCTACTGGCCAGGCAGGGAATCAAACTCTGTATCGGATGAATCAACAGCTTCAGACAGTACTGACACTTATACATTGTCGATGCACTGTACTGTGCATCGGAGTATTCTGTTCTTGAATCAAACAGCTGTTCAATTTTCTTCGCGAATAGTTTACTTCGAATCTTGTCTTTTTTGTCTTTCAAAGCCTCCAGTTGGTTATGATTAAACTTATTACAAAGAGTAGTTAGTAATCGATCTTGGATGCAATTCATGTTGCAAGGAGTCGCAACTATGTCTTCGAGATTGTCGGCACAGTAATCTATACATTCTTGCACTAAAGAGTCCATTTTGAGGAAATCTGACGAAATTAGGATTGAGACTGCATTGTTTGGTTCCAGTTTCGGGGTTGTCTTGGGTCCCTCTCGTTTCACATAGCGCATTAGCCAGTCGAATATTTGCACGTCGCAGTGTACTGAGATGTCAACGTCTTCGCATCTAAAGAAAATTATATTTAGCCACAATCTAAAGGTTAAAAATTATATTTATCCACAATCTAAAGGTTAAAAATTATATTTATCCACAATCTAAAGGTTAAAAATTATATTTATCCACAATCTAAAGGTTAAAAATTATATTTATCCACAATCTAAAGGTTAAAAATTATATTTATCCACAATCTAAAGGTTAAAAATTATATTTATCCATAACCTAAAGGTTAAAAATTATAATTATCCACAATCTAAAGGTTAAAAATTATAATTATCCACAATCTAAAGGTTAAAAATTATATTTATCCACAATCTAAAGGTTAAAAATTATATTTATCCACAATCTAAAGATTAAAAATTATATTTATCCACAATCTAAAGGTTAAAAATTATATTTATCCACAATCTAAAGGTTAAAAATTATATTTATCCACAATCTAAAGGTTAAAAATTATATTTATCCACAATCTAAAGGTTAAAAATTATATTTATCCACAATCTAAAGGTTAAAAATTATATTTATCCACAATCTAAAGGTTAAAAATTATATTTATCCACAATCTAAAGGTTAAAAACTATATTTATCCACAATCTAAAGGTTAAAAATTATATTCATCCACAATCTAAAGGTTAAAAATTATATTTATCCACAATCTAAAGGTTAAAAATTATATTCATCCACAATCTAAAGGTTAAAAATTATATTTATCCACAATCTAAAGGTTAAAAATTATATTTATCCACAATCTAAAGGTTAAAAATTATATTTATCCACAATCTAAAGGTTAAAAATTATATTTATCCACAATCTAAAGGTTAAAAATTATATTTATCCACAATCTAAAGGTTAAAAATTATATTCATCCACAATCTAAAGGTTAAAAATTATATTTATCCACAATCTAAAGGTTAAAAATTATATTTATCCACAATCTAAAGGTTAAAAATTATATTTATCCACAATCTAAAGGTTAAAAATTATAATTATCCACAATCTACAGGTTAAAAATTATAATTATCCACAATCTAAAGGTTAAAAATTATATTTATCCACAATCTAGAAAATTTTTAGGGTCCGTCACCAAAAACCGTTATAAATAGTGACTTTTAGTGACCATTGAAAAAAATAGTGACCAATTAGTGACTGGTCACTAAAATAGTGACCAAGTGGTCACCATGTACTAACTACACGATATTCATTATTAAAACATTTTACAAAAAGTAACCAAACGCTGTGAAAGAATCAGAATTTTTCGACAACCGATCATTTACCAAAAAAAAATAGTCAATTTTTGCTATATTCAATTCGTCTTTTTAAACACGCTGTTGTCTTACATTAATGCCACAGTTAATTGTTCCGACCATTGAAAATGTGGAGGAACTTTATATTCGAGTGTTTTAGCTTTTTTCCATACTAAATCAGGTATTACAAATAATCATCAGTGGGTTGAGTGATATATCACATTGAAGCCCTTACAGACGGGTTTCGAACCACAGTAAAAACTTCCCAAAAATATTTTCTGGTGTCGAGAAAAACCGGTATGAAATTTTTGATTTTTCGTCTCATTTCAAGCAACGCAAGCCAGCGAGCAGGCTTATTTATGCTTAATTTAGGCCGTTTACAATAGCTTAATTATGCTCAACTTTAATTTTACATTTTACTGAGTTTTTGGAGATTTTTAATGCCATTTTGGTAATCAAAACAAAATTGAAAACTTAATTTTTTTGATTTTTTTCTATTCATTTTTTTCAAAAAATGTTGTCCAGTTTGCTCACATTACTATGACTGTCGAAAATGCCTAAATTGTAGTTTTATGTCAGATCCTTTTATCCAACCACCCAGAAAAAGCTACACTAACTTGGAGAAATATTTGTTGGTAGATTTTTACAGACTATGGTCGGAACATTCTGTGCTACTTCCACAGTAACCGGCTATCCTTGTTTTGATTTGTTTACTTCTTATACGGTTCTGATTGGCTTGCTATTTATATAGATCTCTTAATTTAGAGTTTCAAAGTCAAAAAACTTAAGATGAGACTTTGACTGACCTGTTAGTCTCTACGGATAGATACTCCGCAAAGTACTTCATCTCTTTGACCAGAAGATTCCTCGGGCAGTGAAAATCCTGCTTGATACTCTTCGCCTCATCACACACGTGTATCACCATGTTCGCACTACCCATCACAGAAGCACCGGCTGAAGAAGAGCCGCCAACTGTTCTGAATTTAGAGTTGGACTTCTTGTCACTCTGAAATATAACCAACGGAGAGTTTCTTTGAATTTTCTATGAATATGGCATTTAAGCTCTTTGAATTTTCAAAAACACTTATCAATGACATTTTTTTAAACAAAATTTTTCGAATTGAGAAAATTGGAATAATTGGTAACATTTCTATTTCGAGAGAACTTTACAAATTACAATCCACTTTCGAAATTAGAAGTTCATGTTTTCTGCTCCATCACTTTCGTAATTGCAGAGCAGAGTTGCCTTCCATTTAGCAAACTAATTTGAACTGATCTCAAAATTTACACGAGGATCTAAAAAACACTATCTATTTAAGGGTCTTTAGTGCGTTCATTAACACTTGAAATAATTTTATTGAGTAACGCACGTTGCCTTAATGCTGCTTGCAGGCTGAAATTGGAAACTCCACCTGTGTCTCGAATCAATTATACGCAGAATAAGACAAATAGCCATAATTGCCCATAGATTGAACGTGCCTTTGAGGAAAGAATAGGCTCAGGTAACTCTTGTTCGAGACAATTTTAAAGATAAATTTCGGCAGCAAATTTTACAGAAATTACTTACAGGCTTGGAATGTGACTCGCGAGAAGATGGTTTAGAGCTCGCACTCTCGTCAGCTGCGGGGTGCGCCGATATCGTTCCGGCACTGCTTGCCGAAGACGCGGATGTCGCATTCCTTGAACTGGGAATTGAAATCACATTTTCAGTTGCATTTCTAGACTCATTGACTTGATTCTCTAGCTTCAAGTCTGAGGCTAATTTCAACTCTTGATTCAGTTCATTGAATCGTGATTCGCATTCTGCAGGAGTTGTGCCTGGAACTAAGACTGAAATCAGTTGCCAGTCTTTGTGTGGCAAACTCTGGAACTCTCGGCTCTGCAGGAGTGTTGAGAGGAAAAAGTCGAGCGAAAAATTTCCGGCTTTGCTCATGTTACATTTCAACTGAAAAAAAAAAACACTTTGGACAAATCATTCTACTCAATTAAAAATTGTTCTGGTATCAATAACATTAAAATGTCTGATTCCCCCGATTTTTCAGACGCAGATGATGAAAAAAAAGTGCCACCAATCCAACATCAATTTAAAACTAATTTTTGAAGTTATTAACGAGCTTACATTGCAGCACCCAAAATGTGATTTAATTATTTACAAATACGTCAAAATACAGTTAATAAAGCGAAGACTCCATAAACCAGTGCGCATGGATAGGCAACCAGCATCTGTTGTCCATTCATTGTCAATGCCGAAACGAACAGTTTACTTGATGCAAGACTAGCCCAACCGACGCATAATATGCTCATTATCAAGCCAAATGAACCCTTGAGAGAAATGAAAACAGCTACTGATGACAGTCCAACCATAGGTAGGAGGCAGTATCCTAGCACACTGACAACTCCTAGGAAACCACATCCATCCACCGACATCAGATTTAGGAGCATATACATTCCCAGACTTCCCATAACTCCGATTCCATAAATATAATTGAAGTGAATTTTGCCAGCCAAGAGCAATGTGGCCCCAAACGCCAGAGCAAACACCAAAGGCCCAGCCAGATCGTTGTCTTGGCATGCTGCTGGATCAGCAGCTTTCGTTGGATGGAGAACTGCAAGAGTTTTCTGTTGAATATGACTGAAGTTAATGCCTAATTCTTCAAGCAATGGAGGCTCGTCTTCGTCAAAATTATTCGGTGAAAACGCTGAATTTGAAAGCACACTTTTTCGCCCTGTAGAAAGTGAACTGCTTGAACTCATAGCCATTTGTCCATATAGTGAGTTCGGATCTTCAGCAGGTGTGTAGTACTGATTATTGTAGAAATTACTTTGTGGATTCATGAAGCCTTGGTTTTGTTTATTGTTATCGACGTAGTGTTGTTCAGGTTCGAAGTAATTATACGATTGAGTGTTTTCGATGTTATAGCCACCGTAATGCTCAGACCCCTGATCATCCTGGCGGTATTGTGTGTTATCGCCAAAACCACTATTTCCCCAATCATACCCTCCTGACGACCAAGAATCGAAACTCTGAGCCATTTAACCTGAAAATATAAGAAATGGAGCAAAAATTTCCAAACCAACACTTTCTGAAACACAACAGCCTCACAAAATCCGAGAAAAAACCAAGGACAGTCGGTTACTGTAGTACAAGCACAGAATGTTCCGTCCATAGTCTTACAAAAACACACCATTTCTTTTTTAGAAATTAGTCGTTTTTTGTGTGGTCTGATATGATAGAACATCTGAAGCCAGATAACATACGATAAAAAAAAGAGTAAATTATAAAGGGGCCCTTCCGTTTAGGTACGGTCGTGCACAAGCTGGATAGGGCCCATGCCAGCATTATATAAAGACATCGAAAAACAATATTGCAGAAATTAAGTCAAGTCAGCATTTAGCCTAATTGCTGCGATAAACTTGTTAAATAGTCTTTCGTTGTTCAAAAATACCCCTTGTGTGTTTTCATATCATATGCGCGCTAGGCTTTCCTCTTCTTAGGGCGTTAATGTGAGCATCCGCTCGGCGCGGAGTGCTCGTTAACGGTTCTGCCGGTCATGATGTTAAAAAAGAATAACACCCAGGAGCGCCATAAAAACATACATGTAACATTCGCCCGGAAGATACATATCGACAGATAACAAAACTAAGTCTTAAGACGACTGGCTAGCGTCTAAACAGAGCTTTGCATGCTTTTCACCGTCTCTACCAAGCCAGTACTTTTCGGTGGTCTTTCTAACATCGGGTCGACAAAAACGTTACTGTTCTCCGGCTTCGACCAGAACGCTCAAATTAACTAGATTACATGCAGAAATAGTGAGCTCATGGCTGGGTCTCAGTATCCCTAGACCACGAGGTCACTCCTAAAAGCAGGGCTACTACTTATTATATTACTATTGTTTTTGTTCAGTAGATAAAAATCATCATCTCCATCGAAGATGGATCAACCCTTTCCCCCAACTCCTAGCTTCTCATCCTTATCAAAATGAATCCAGTTGTTAATTAAATTCAATTCAGGACATGACAAGAAGCTAAAAGTTTATATAAAAGGCTAAAAGTTCCAGTCCCGAAACCCTTCCGGATTCTTGAATCCAGTGAATCAAGCTCCTCAAGTTCAATTTCACGCCAATCCGGAAGGCTGGTTCTCACCCTTCACCGTTGTTGGCAACGGCCTTGCAACTATTGTAGCAGCACAATAGTTGCAACTTGGAACGTTCTCTGCTATTGTAGTTCGTTGTCGTTTTTCTTTAATCTCGATTTTCGTTCTGTTCGCTATCACAGATAAAGTTGTTCTGTTTTTCACTCGCTTTTTGTTAAAATGGCCGTTTCAGCATTTCTCAGAAATGTGACGTCATCATTCGAATTTTTGAAAATTTAAAATACTAGAATATTCTAGCCCTCACCGTTTGGCTAAACGTTCCAATAACGTCGCTAATCCTTCGAAATCATCAACTCGGAAGGCTTACTGCTCAAAATTCGAATCCTGCATAAATTGCATTTTGGCCATTCTGGTCGAATGTCACATACTCCCCGGACAGTCCGGTCAATGTCCTCATTGAATCGCGCAATGTTCTAAATGGTTACAGTGTCATCGAACAGAATTTACAAAATGCACGAAATTACTTTTATCTACGTCACATCGACTCACTGCAGAATATAAATGGCATCATACTACATCACTATAGCCTTCAAATTCTTTCATTAATCTGCACATTGAGGATATGACTTAAGATAAAACATATTTTCTGACTTCCAGTGTCAATGTCCCGATTGAAACTTTTTCTCCTAGATTTAAAAGGTGTTGGCTTGCAGGACAGTCCTGCCAACCAACAAGCTAAAATTATCCTACTATGCTCCTTCCCTTCGGAAATCTTGCTTGTTTATTGCCCTGAATATTAAAACTAAGAAACTTTGTGGTTAGAAGGAACAATGCAACAACCTCCCTCCTCAAGAAGCTACTCAATTTTTTCATGTCACCACAAAGTGATCAGTCTTCCTAAGTGATTAAAAACAATCATGCAGGCTGGAATATTTAAATATACTCTTCCCTCAAGCCTTTCTAAATAAATAATCAGAGAGTGTCTCTAAAGCCACCTCAACTAAAACCAAAATGCAAATTTATAAATGCAACAATTTCAAAACTCAACTACATATTTCAGTTTTCAATTACAACTTGGTTGCTTGGTTTCTCACTTGAGTTTTTCACACACATAAAACAATTCTGAGTTTTAACTTTTCTTCATCATCCCTTTGTTCTCTTCTTTTTTCGTCGTTTAGAAGTTCTAAAACTTCTAAATTCTTCTAATTTTCTTTCTTGCTGCCTCTTGTTTTCTCGACCATTCGTCAATGCTCCATTTCCTCCTCCTGTGACACTGACTCCGCACTCTCGGTTTCCGTGTCTTGTAGCACGTCATTGACTATCCTGACGCTGTTGGAAGCCGTCCTCCAACACTTCTGCTCTTCCACCCTCTGTTTACAGCAAGGTAGGGGATCCACGTTTGATTCTCTGTTTCTACAGAAGCTGTTGTGGAGACACAACGTCACGTTTCTCTCCAAATCTTCTTTCAGCATCTCTGCCTTCTCATTTCCACTACGCTCGCTCGTCCTGGAAATTCTTTTCACAGCGGTGGTCACTGCATTCCGATGGGTCACGAAAGCTCGCTTGAAAGCTCCTGCCCCAATGTCCAGCTGATATTCACTGTACACTCTGCCATGTTTCGACATATGCTTTTTCGCATACTCGTACAACCATGCAGTCATGTTAGCTCTGAACCATGGCATCAATCGTTTTCTTGCCCATATCTTCTTCACTTCCATCGGAATGTTTAGAACTTTGCACATTGTCTCAAAAAGATCTAAATCTTTTAGACAATCTAATTTCTGCAATTGTTCTCTCGTCGGTGCCTCCTGTCTTTTATTTTCTCTCACATGAGCTTCCAGCCATCGTATCGCCATCATAACTCCCACTATCACTATTGTTATGGGCTGTGATGAATCTGGTAAACCCATGGAGAGCAGCTCTCCAGAGTCCCAGATCAACACCAAATTACTACGCTTGGGATACCACCAGGTCTGCAGCAAGCAGTGGCAAGGAAACTCGTCATGTGTCAACATGATGCTCCTCCAATTGCGTTTTCCTGAAGCTTCCAGCAATGGTTCCACTTCCATCATCACTCGGTGGATTTCATCATTCTCATCTACTGCATTGTAATCTGTGACAGTTGATCCTCTCTGTTTCTGTTTCTCAAAGTCACTGAAGTTCCCGCTCACATATCCCATGAACTTCTTTCCTAGTATTGACTCCAACTCTTCTTTGGTTCTCTCTGGAATTGCTGAGAACATCTTACATAGTAACTCGTAAGACTTTTCAGACATTCTCGCCAATCTCACGCACTTTGGCACTGAGAAAGCTTGATCCACAATCATTCTTGTACTCTTCACGTCCACAGTCACGAAATGTACAGGGTATCTGCTCTTGCACATTGGAGCCAACGTTGAACCCACCAAATATCGTGCTCCTGATGGTCTACAATAAGTTTCGCTGTGTCTGATGTTCATCTCTGTTTCGATTGCTTCCCTCCATTTTCCTATATACTTCTGCTCAGTCTGCAGAACTCCTGGGAATACTTCTACGCTGATGGCTGTGACCATCTCATGTTTCTGTTCTAGATTCAATAGTGACTCTAAAGAACCAAACATGCTGTAGAATCCTAGTGCTGTCACTAGATTCACATCGGTTCCTCCATGGCAATCTGCTATCAGTTCCGTTTCCGTTCTTGCTTTCATCACTACATTTCCAAACAATACTGTCAACTGCTTGTGTTGTTTCTCCAGGGTTTTCACACAGTCTAGACTTCCACAAACGTGACCCTCTAGTCCACAGACTTCCCCCAGACAGCTACCAGGTTTGACCCAGTCTTCTGGTCCCCCTCCACTTTATCTTCTCCGTTGCTCTTAGAGGCTGTTATCATCACATTATATATGATGTTGAGGTCACGCAGGTTACAGTCCGCATTCAGTTCCCTCTGTATGTCTTGTGTCGCCCGTAATATTGAGTCAGCGTTGGGACTAGGACACCATGATGGCTTCATCAATTCCCACACTGCCATCAAGCTCGTTCTCAGTAATTCATCTGAGAATCCCAACCCAAATTCCACTCTCTTGTCGGATTTTGGTACTGAAGGTGCAGTCACCTCTTCCAAGACCAATCCCAATTTGGCCTGTGGATTGTTAACGCTCTTAGTCGTCACAATTCTGGACGTCCAGAATCTTAGTAACACCGCCTGCTCATAATCAAAGAAGCAATCGCGTATGTCTTCACTCAGGAAAGGATTGTATGCTATCCCTATAATCCCGGACACATAGCTATATGACTTCTTCTTGATCGGTCCACAGTATTCACTGGATTTCGGCAATGCTCCCATAGATTCTTTAGTGAGCCTCAACTCCTTGTTTGAGAATCTCCTGATCTCGTCTATCTTTTTCATGGGTTCCAATTCTTCAGGTTCTTTCATGTTCACCCTCATCGGTTTACTTTGCTGCATATCCAGCATTGCTAGTAAGAACATGGCTTTCGTTCGCTCATCGCCTTCCTTCAACATTTTAACACAAGTGCTTAATGCAGGTACTGAGATCTGCTCTATCAGGAATCGAATGAAACAGAGAGCGTCTCTCTGCTTTGCACACGCTACTGCTGCTCCCTCCTGGACTATCAGATCCCTCAGATTCGTCATAAGGAAAACTTTTTCCTCCTTTGATCTCTTCCTTTCTTCTGAATCATATTCTTCGCGAGTCAGTCCCATCATGCACCAGGCGAGCCTGAGTTGTAATTCTGTCCTTACGTAAGGTACTGCCACGAGAGCATGTATTCTTGGCGTAGTCCTCATTTCTTCTTCGAAATACCTCAATACTACTGCTTTCCATGGAAGGCTCACTAACTGCTCGATCGTCTCCGCCTCTACGTCAGACGACGCCAAAGTTCCATACGCCTTCTGCTTGATGGTGGTGCCTTGCAACATCGTTTCCAGATAACCCTCCATGG